TACTGTCAATTTCCCCTTTTATGGTTGTTAGTATTTGCCTTATGTATTGAGGTGCTCCTATGTTGGGTGCATAAATATTTACAATTGTTATATCTTCTTCTTGATTTGACCCCTTAATCATTATGTAGTGTCCTTCTTTGTCTCTTCTAATAGTCTTTATTTTAAAGTCATTTTGTCTGATATGAGAATTGCTACTCCACCTTTCTTTTGCTTTCCATTTCCATGGAATATCTTTTTCCATCCCCTTACTTTCAGTCTGTATGTGTTTCTAGGTCTGAAGTGGGTCTCTTGTAGACAGCATGTATATGGGTCTTGTTTTTGTATCCATTCAGCCAGTCTGTGTCTTTTGGTGGGAGCATTTAGTCCATTTACATTTAAGGTAATTATGGATATGTATTTTCCTATTCCCAGTTTCTTAATTGTTTTGGGTTCGTTATTGTACGTCTTTTCCTTCTCTTGTGTTACTTGCCTAGGGAAGTACCTTTAGCATTTGTTGTAAAGCTGGTTTGGTGGTACTGAACTCTCTCAGCTTTTGCTTGTCTGTAAAGGTTTTAATTTCTCCATGAAATCTGAATGAGATCCTTGCTGGGTGGAGTAATCTTGGTTGCAGGTTTTTCTCCTTCATCATTTTAAATATGTCCTGCCAGTCCCTCCTGGCTTGCAGAGTTTCTGTTGAAAGTTCAGCTGTTAACTTTATGGGGATTCCCTTGTGTGTTATTTGTTGTTTTTCCCTTGCTGCTTTTAATATGCTTTCTTTGTATTTAGTTTTTGACAGTTTGATTAATATGTGTCTTGGCGTATTTCTCCTTGAATTTATCCTGTATGGGACTCTCTGTGCTTCCTGGACTTGATTAACGATTTCCTTTCCCATATTAGGGAAGTTTTCAACTATAATCTCTTCAAATATTTTCTCAGTCCCTTTCTTTTTCTCTTCTTCTTCTGGAACCCCTATAATTCGAATGTTGGTGCGTTTAATGTTGTCCCAGAGGTCTCTGAGACTGTCCTCAGTTCTTTTCATTCTTTTTTCTTTATTCTGCTCTGCAGTAGTTATTTCCACTATTTTATCTTCCAGGTCACTTATCCGTTCTTCTGCCTCAGTTATTCTGCTATTAATCCCATCTAGAGTTTTTTTTTTTTTTCCTTTTTTGCGGTACGCAGCCGTCTCACTATTGTGGCCTCTCCCGTTGCGGAGCACAGGCTCCGGACACGCAGGCTCAGCGGCCATGGCTCACGGGCCCAGCCGCTTCACGGCATGTGGGATCTTCCCGGACCGGGGCACGAACCCGTGTCCCCTGCATCGGCAGGCGGACTCCCAACCACTGCGCCCCCAGGGAAGCCCTAGAGTATTTTTAATTTCATTTATTGTGGTGTTAATCGTTGCTTGTTTCATCTTTAGTTCTTCTAGGTCCTTGTTAAATGTTTCTTGCATTTTCTCTATTGTATTTCCAAGATTTTGTATCATCTTTACTATCATTATTCTGAATTCTTTTTCAGGTAGACTGCCTGTTTCCTCTTCATTTGTTAGGTCTGGTCGGTTTTTATCTTGCTCCTTCATCTGCTGTGTGTTTTTCTGTCTTCTCATTTTGCTTATCTTACTGTGTTTGGGGACTCCTTTATGCAGGCTGCAGGTTCGTAGTTCCTGTTGTTTTTGGTGTCTGTCCCCAGTGGCTAAGCTTGGTTCAGTGGGTAGTGTAGGCTTCCTGGTGGAGGGGACTAGTGCCTGTGTTCTGGTGCATGAGGCTGGATCTTGTCTTTCTGATGGGCAGGTCCATGTCTGGTGGTGTGTTTTGGGGTGTCTGTGGCCTTATTATGATTTTAGGCAGCCTCTCTGCTAATGGGTGGGGTTGTGTCCTTTCTTGCTAGTCGTTTGGCATAGAGTGTCCAGCACTGTATCTTGCTGGTCGTTGAGTGAAGCTGGGTGCTGCTGTTGAGATGGAGATCTCTGGGAGATTTTCGCCGTTTGATATTATGTGGAGCTGGGAGGTCTCTTGTGGACCACTGTCCTGAAGTTGGCTCTCCCACCTCAGAGGCACAGCCCTGACTTCTGGCTGCAGCACCAAGAGCCTTTCATCCACACAGCTCAGAATAAAAGGGAGAAAAAGTAGAAAGAAAGGATTAGTAGAAGTAGAAAGAAAGAAAGAAAGAAAGAAAGAAACGAGGGAGGGAGGGAGGAAGGAAGGGAGGGAGGAAGGAAGGAAGGAAGGAAAGAAAGAAAGAAGGAAAGAAAGAAAGAAGATAAAGTAAGATAAAATAAAATAATTAAAATAAAAAATAATTATTAAGGAAAAAAAATTTTTTTAAGAAAAAAAAAAACAGATGGATAGAACCCTACCACAAATGGTGAAAGCAAAGCTATACAGACAAAATCTCACACAGAAGCATACACATACACACTCACAAAAAGAGGAAAAGGGGAAAAAAATCATAAATGTTGCTCTCACATTCCACCTCCTCAATTTGGGATGATTCGTTGTCTAAAGGAGGGAGGGAGGGAGGGAAGGAAGGAAGGAAGATAAAGAAAAATAAAATAATTAAAATAAAAAATTATTAAGAAAAAAAATTTTAAAAAACAACAAAAAACGGACTGATAGAACCCTAGGACAAATGGTGGAAGCAAAGCTATACAGACAAAATCTCATACAGAAGCATACACATACACACTCAGAAAAAGAGGAAAAGGGGAAAACGTCATAAATCTTGCTCTCAAAGTCCACCTCCTCAATTTGAGATGATTCGTTGTCTATTCAGGTATTCCACTGATGCATGGTACATCAGGTTGATTGTGGAGCTTTAATCCGCTGCTTCTGAGGCTGCTGGGAGAGATTTCCCTTTCTCTTCTTTGTTCGAACAGCTCCCGGGGCTCAGCTTTGGATTTGGCCCCGCCTCTGAGCATAGGTCGCTGGAGGGCGTCTGTTCTTTGCTCAGACAGGACGGGGTTAAAGGAGCTGCTGATTTGGTGCTGAGTGAGCCACAGCTGGCTCACTCAGCCCAGGGGGGAGGGAGAGGCACGGAGTGCAGGGCGGGCCTGCAGCAGCAGAGGCCAGCGGGAGGAGGGATGTTGTACCAGCCTGAGGCACGCTGTGTGTTCTCCCAGGGAAGTTGTCCCTGGATCCCGGGACCCTGGCATTGGCAAGCTGCACAGGCTCCTGGAAGGGAGGTGTGGATAGTGACCTGTGCTCACACACAGGCTTCTTGGTGGCGGCAGCAGCGGCCTTAGCGTCTCATGCCCATCTCTGGGGTCTGTGCTTTTAGCCGCGGCTCACGCCCATCTCTGGAGCTCCTTTAAGCAGCGCTGTTCTGCCATTTTTATTATAATATGTCTTGATGTACGTCTGTTTGGGTTCATCTTTTTTGGGACCTTCTGTTTCCTGTATCTGGATATCTGTTTCCTTCTTTAGGTTTGGGAAGTTTTCAGCCATAGTTTCTTCAAATACATTTTCAATCCCTTTTTCTCTTTCTTCTCCCTCTGAAATCCTTGTTATGTGTAGATTGGCATGCTTTGTGTTATCCCATAGGTCTCTTATATTGCTTTCTTTTTTTTTTTTCATTTGGCTTTCTGTCTGCTGTTTTGATTGGGTAATTTCCGTTATTCTATCTTCCAGATCGCTTACTCTTTCTTCTGCATTATTCATTCTGCTATTCATTGCCTTTAGCTCAGCTTTTGTCTTGGCAAATGAATTTTCTAATTTTTCTTGTCTCTGCCTTATAGTTTCTACTTCCTTTTTACAGTAATTTGCATTTCTCTTGATAGCCTTTCTTAATTCCTTCAGTATTTTTGTTACATTCTTTTTGAACTTGGTGTCTGTTAGACTGAAGAGGTCTGTTTCATTGTTCCTTCAGGGGAATTCTCTTGGTCTTTTCACTGGGAATGGTTCCTCTTATATCTCTCTTACTCTGTGTATTTAGGAGAAACAATTATATACTGTAGTCTTGGAGGGCTATTTATATGCAGAAGTGTCCCTGTGTAGCTTGTGTGGGTTTAATATGTTTTTGGTGTGAGGGTTGTTTTTGGTTTGGATGCTTGCCGTTTCTTTCCTCAGCATGTGCTGGCTGTTATCCCTTGATAGGGGCTATGCGGGTGCACTGCCTGCGCACGTTTCCAGGAGGTGGGGGAAGCAACCAGCACCCACTCATGGGACCCTTGGTAGCGGCAGCAGTCCACGCCCATCTCTGGAGTCCTAGATGGCAGTGGTGGCTTGCATCCATCCCTGGAGCTCTTGTAGGTGGTGCCCTGCCGCCTGAAAGCACGCGTGCTGAGAAAGGAGCTTCTCTGGCGGTCCCACCCCTCTCCTCACACACACCCGAACAATGGCATCTTGTCTCTCTGGTGGTCCCAGGCTTCTTCCATGCTGCTGATTGCCAGTGAAGAAGATGGATGAATAGATAGGAGGTGTGAAGCAGTAGTACTTTTAAATCAAGAAATAAGTAAATACCCTTCTTTCAGATTTTCTATTTTTTAATGTTCCTTATATTCATGTGGTACAGTCTCCTCTGAATTCAGAGTGGTGGAGTGTAAGATGAGGAAACCATGGGCCACCTGTATGGGCAGGCTGGTTTTGATGTCTGGAAATGCATATGTAGGAGTTAGTTTTCATTCATACATTTTCCAAGTAGACAGTTTCGAGGTTTAACTGTTGTATGCTTTTATATACCAACCCATTTAAAATTGTAGTCAACACGTGATTGGAGTGTAGCATAATGATTAAAGGATAAATAACTCCTCTGGCAGTGTTTGGAAATTAGTATTGGCATTTGTTTTAATTTTATTTTAACAGTTTAAATAATTTCAAATGTTGAAAGAGTAATAACCTACAGGTGGTCAGTTACGTATTATCACTAATGTCAGGCTTTCCTTCTTTGGAGGGGCCAAAATGTCAAAAGGAGTAAAAATTATAATAATAATCCGATGTGGCAACCTTTGATGCAAGAGAATTTTAGAAATTTTATTTCTAAAATTATGTATTTTGAGTATAAAGATTTTTAATTTATTTTTTAACTAGGTTCAGGACTTCTGGAAATCTTGTAATCACTCGTGAGATTGATGTGGCAAAAAGTCAGTCCTTTTGGTTCATCAACAAAAAATCTACAACTCAGAAAGTAGTAGAAGAGCAGGTTGCAGCCTTAAATATTCAAGTGGGCAATCTTTGCCAGTTTCTACCTCAGGTATGAGAGAATTAAATGTAAAGGTGGGAAAATTTTGTGTATGTTTCCTCTTTATGTCATATAAGAATGTAAATACTTTTTAAGAGTATTGTAATGGTTACTATTTTAAATGAGCATAGTGGTGTTAATACTTACTAACAGTTCTTTGTAAAAGGTAGCATCTCATCTCTTACAGTATAAGCTTACTAATTTGTAGTAATTTGGAAATATTCAATTAATGAGCCTGTTAAAGTATTGTAAGGGAAATAAAGGTATTATTTTTAAGTACAGAGAGTAGCTTAAACAGCTGTGTGCTCCCATTCATAGACTCGTAAAATTTTGTTAATAAACAACTTCTTAATCAGTGTGTTTGTATAAAATATTTTATATACTAAGACTTAAATCTATAGGTGTGCCTTCTAGAAACCTTTCATATTTTAAGTTTGTTTAGTAAAAATAAAACATCCTGATATTGCATGTTATATGTTAAAATCAGGTCTTTTTAATTTGTCTTTGAATGCAGTCTAGTGACTGAATTATAGTTCATTTTTTCCTTCAGAAACTGATGATTTGATTACTATGTCCAAGTGGAAGAAAACTTAAAATTTTAAAGTATTTATCAGCTGTTATAAGACTGTTTACAGAAGTATATGTTTAAAATTGCTCTGTGTGTGTTTTTTTTTAACTTCTAGTATTTCATTCCAAATTATGTGTAGTAGATAATCATTTCAGTCCAGGGGAGTATTTTTTCTTTTCTTTCCAAACTATTTGTTAAATGTGTATAAAACTTAAAACCTGGAAATATTGACATTGAAATTTTTTTAGGTTCTCAGAAAGATGACAGTTTATACCCTAAGTTTATTATTTTAAAGAATGATATATGAAGGACAGGGTTTATATTAAGATTCACATCTCAAAATAAAGGGTTTTTTTTTCTTTTAAATGAGTTTCTTCTTGACAAGTATCATTGAGTGAAAAATGTTTTGAAGATATTTATAAACGATAATATTAACTGATATTTAAGTTTTTTGCTCTAGGATAAAGTTGGAGAATTTGCTAAACTCAGTAAAATTGAACTCCTTGAAGCTACTGAGAAGTCAATTGGTCCTCCAGAAATGCACAAATACCACTGTGAACTCAAAAACTTCAGGGAGAAAGAAAAACAACTAGAGGTATTTATAAATAGACAACTCATTTTATGTCTCTCATTGATTTCTATGTCTCAAAATGTGGGAAAGTAAATAGTAGTTCTGATTCATTGAGTGCATTCATATATTTGTGATTTTTTTTCACCTAGGATTTTGTTGCTAACATTAATTAAGTTAGGTGACAAAAAGTGGGAATGGATTTTATATAAAATTTGAAAATTTTGACTATCATTTCATCAAATATATGTTATTAATTGAATTTCTAAAGCAGCAGTCCCCAACCTTTTCAGCACCAGGAACCGGTTTCATGGAAGGCAGTTTTTCTACAGATGGGGGGAGGGGTGGGAGATGGTTCAGGCAGTAATGCGAGCGATGGGGAGCAGCAGACGAAGCTTCACTCGCTTGCTTCCTGCTGTGCGGCCTGGTTCTTAACAGGCCGCGGACTGGTACCGGTCCACAGACTGGGGGTTGGGGACCCCTGTTCTAAAGAACCGATAATAGTATTATAAAGTATTTTTTTTCTCTCAGGAAGTTTCAGTGTTATTCTTTTATTCATTCAGTGTTTACTAAACACTTACTATATGCCAGGCACTGTGTAAGGCTTTGGGTAATACAGCAGATACTTAGCTTTTAATATAGTGTCTCTGTTGAGCCAGTTCTCATATTGTTTTCAGTTGTGTGAGGATGGACTTTGTAAAAGAACTGTACATTTAGTTGCACTGTTTGATTTTTATTTTCACCTTTAATAAATAAATTAAAATGTTCTTTTATAGCATATCATTCTAAAAGGTGCTTTATTTAATGAATCATTTTCCATATCTCAGCAGCTAAAATAAGTTCAGTAATTTTTTGTAATGAGAAATCTTGTAAACAAATGCTTTCTCTTAAACTGTAACTGTCTGTACTTGATAATGAGTTTTATTATAATTTAATACTATTTTTATTGTTATACTTATTCAGAGTGAATGGCCAAAGGAGTCATAATTATTTTATCCTACTTTATATACTCTGTCGGTCCTTTTACTTTTCCCCACATCAAACAATCTTAATACACCCCTCTGAAACACTCACTGAAACTACCTACCAAACTCTGAAAGAAAAAAACATATTCTACTAAGCTCTGAGTACATTTTTGGCATTTGTTAATTTACAATATAAAGGCTGAATTTTAGCTTTCCTTTATCTCATTTCTAACATAGTAATCATAGTAATACCACTCTTCGTTTGTATGTCATGTTACAGCTTTTGTTGAGCTTTCACCTATAGTAAGTTGAGTTGCTTCTACCCTTGAGGTGAATGGGGCAGATACCTCTCTTCTCTTTAGGCAAGAAGAATCCAGGCTTAGAGATGTGGCAGGGCTTCCTCACAGTCCCATAATTAATAAATAGTAGAACCTAGACCAGAATTCAGGTGTGCACATTAGTTTCACACAATTCTTAAGAACTCCTATGGAATCATTTATTGTGAAATTTTGTTAGCACTGTACATTTTTCATTATTAAAAGCTTTGACCTTTTGTCTTTCTTCAGTTAAACTAATTATTAAATAAATGTTTATTTTAGACCTCATGCAAAGAGAAAACTGAATATCTAGAGAAGATGATTCAGAGGAATGAAAGATATAAACAAGATGTGGAGAGGTTCTATGAACGTAAGCGACATTTAGATTTGATTGAGATGCTTGAAGCAAAAAGGCCATGGGTGGTAAGTGTGAGTTATTAAAGGTGAAAATAGTTATTCTTTAATTAGCAGAAAAGTTATAAAGAAGGCACTAATTGCTGTATATTCAAATTAGGTGCTTTTGTTCATTTTTGCTTTGTATATCATACATAGTAACATTTATCTCTTTGTGTTATTATATAATTGTGTGCTATGTTGTTGTTATTGCATGTTGATTAAGTCTGTGCCCTTAATTTTTCCAGATTTGAGTCAACAGATAGTTCTGCTTTATAAAATGTTAATGAGCTAAAATGTTTACATATGTAAAAATTAAATCTTTGAGTGTCCTCAGGTCACTGAGAATTTACTTTGAGTGTGCGACTAATATCAGCTTCAGCTACAGACAAAGCTGAAGGATATTAATTGTAATCTTCTCCTCATTATGCTTCATAAGCTTACTGAAACTATTGGTTTTAGTCACTCTGTGATGTATACTGTTTAAAACCACAGTTTGGGCCAAAGATTCATTTCCCTAAATACATCACTTTTCAGTGGGTGGAACAAAATAAGAAAGTTTAATAATGTTTTTAAGGCTAGGATGGAAATAATTATTAGATTGGAGAAATATGTGGCTTTATTTGTGAACTTCTCCCACCCACCCTAACCCCACCACCCCTGCTTCACCCTATCCTTTCCCATAATTCCATTTTCTTAAACTTTTTTCTTTCTTCAGCTCATTTTAATTAGGTTTATCCTATGTCCATTATTATTCTTGCACCTGCTTTATGTTTGTCTTTTGAAGTCTTTTGATTTCTCCCTTTTCTTTCAAGATTGATTTCAATCTTTTTTCATTTTTTCCTTTTTTTGGTTTACTCTAATGTTTATTTGTATTCTTTTCTTACCTTTCTTCATCCCATTCATTCTTACTATATGCTCTCTTAGCACTCCCCTTAATTTTTTTTAGCAAATATTTATTAATTCCTGTGATGTGACAAGCATCATTTTCACCTGGATGCTACATTTTTTCTCTTGAGCCATTTTACTTTTGTTTTTTCATTTTTATTTTTCATAACTGAGTTTCTTTTGGTTCTTTGTATTTTGTGTATGTGTGTGTGCAGTGTGTGGGCCTCTCACTGTTGTGGCCTCTCCCGTTGCGGAGCACAGGCTCCGGATGCTCAGGCTCAGTGGCCATGGCTCATGGGCCTAGCTGCTCCGTGGCATGTGGGATCCTCCCAGACCGGGGCTCGAACCTGTGTCCCCTGCATTAGCAGGCAGACTCTCAACCACTGCGCCACCAGGGAAGCCCCTTTATATGTTTTTGAATGCCTTCTTTATTGAGAGACTAGAGGAGGTCCTACTGTTAGAAGCCATTAGGATGTAAATTTCAATAACAAGAAGGGATGGAAGACAGAGAGTCTGGCCTATTGATAGAGATGAGTGCTCAGTGAGTATCACTGAGTTAATCATTATGTTGGTATTTACTATTTGTGAAGTTGTTTCAGAGGGCAAATTTTTTATTAATAGACCTGCCAAAGGGATTCAAAACTGTCTTTTTCATAGATTTGGTTTCTGCCTGTACCTTGATTTTAGTATTTGTGTTACTTTAAGCTAGGAGTGCATTAACTTCTCTTTCTTGAATTCATTACAAGGAATATGAAAATGTTCGTCAGGAATATGAAGAAGTAAAACTAGCTCGGGACCGAGCGAAGGATGAGGTCAGAAAACTTAAAGAAGGGCAGATTCCTATAACACAACGCATTGAAGAAATTGAAAGGCAGCGTCACCATTTGGAGGCTCGAATCAAAGAGAAGGTACTTTTCTGGCTCAGTTTTGGATTTCCTATATTTTATTTTAGCAAATACAAAAAATATTTTGCAGGTCTTTTAAAATGCTTTGTAGATTTACTTGTTAACTTTAGTTCCTTAAGTTCTTTTACTAGGAATTCTACCACAGGTCTTTCAAGGTCCTAATCATCACTTGCTACTTTATAGGAGCTTGCTACTCTATAGAAATTCCAAGACATAAAAAGAGAAAAATGAAATGTTATTGTTTTAATAAAAGGAGGATTCAGAGTAGTATTCCTAGAAACGTTTAACTCCTTTTGTGAATTTATTATACATGCTTTGTAACTATATACCCTTTTGGAGGAATGTAATATAAAAATCCTGATGTTTCTTGGAATAAATAATATAATGGCCTATGGAATATTCTTGATATTTTGAAAATGTAAATTTAAATTTTTTGTGATCATGGCTTTTAACCTTTAGGTGAGATTTTGGCGTCAGATATTGTTTTGAGAATGGACCCTGCAATTCTATATAATCGTTTCTAGGATAAAATAACATGAGGAAATAAATGTGAAGAGATACAGAAACATATGTATGCATATTGCTGTAGCTATTTTTAATATCTACAGGAATAACCTTTCATAGATTTTCAAATAATTGTTGGTATTTTGGGTGATAATTATGAATTGGAAAGAAATCATGGAAAATCATTGTGGGTAAACTTACGTAGCAGCTTAATATTTGGACGAGTGGGGTCACATAATTGCCTTGATTGAATTTTTAACTAACTTCCCCTCTTCTGGTTCAATCTTACAGGCAACAGATATTAAGGAGACATCTCAAAAATGCAAACAAAAGCAAGATGTTATAGAAAGGAAAGATAAACATGTAAGATCTTGTATTGAAATTTTTGTTATGTTAATTTGCCCTAACTTTTGTGTTCAGGTGTAGATTATGAGACACCTTCTTGTTTGGGAATTTTCTGAGATCCTCCTCATTCTCTATTTCTTATCTTAATCTGTGAGGGGAACTAAGTTTTGGAAGTATAGCACTTGCACAGAGGATAAATGGGGAAAATGGCTCTAAACTACTCATAGATATGCATTATAGGGTGCAATAGATATGTATTTAATAGGGTGATGGTAAAATTGGATTTAGTTATCCTAATAGCAGAAATTAAATTATAAGGGATTTATTCTGTTGTTTCTTTATATTAAGAGTTGGGTATTAAAAAAGCTGATTATAAATTTATTGTGCATGGATGGGAGTTGATGACAAAATTATTTTAGGATAATTGGGCAAGAAAGTGGGCTTTTTAGCTAACAGATCCCCAGATGTATTTGGGGTTCTGTTCTCCAGGACCATTCAGAAACTAAAGTTTGAATTACCTTTCTTAGGGATAGATGCATGTCTTGAAGCATTCCTGGTGTTTAAAGCATGACATTAATCTCTCAGTTTTCAGCCTTACCCCTTTTCCTATGCCTTTATCTTCAAGTTCCAATCCTCTCTCATTTAACTTCTCCAGAGAATAAACCGCACATTTTCATGACAGAAGCTTGCTTGCTAGCGTTAGTGCTCAAGGTGTGTGCATAGAGGTGGTGTGAAGGCATTGGGGTAGGAGGGTAGTATAGGGTTGGTAGGGGTAATTCTCTATGTGGAGTGTGTGTGTCTTTCTCTTTTTTTTTTTTTAATTTACTTTGGAAGGCTCAACAATAATGTATTTATAGCAAAATCTCCTTTCTCTAAGTCCCTCTAAAGTATGTACAGGGCAGTCACCATTGTATCCAAATACCTGGTAGAGAAATAGAGACTCAACAAAATTAAACGACTTGCAGAACTCAAAAGTAGCTCCCAGTGCCGCACTCTACTTTCCCCAATATAAAATAACATTTTCCATAAAAATCTTACTTAATATGTAATGTCTTTTTACTTGACATTTCCTAGTTCTGAGAGTCTCCAGGATATTTTTTTTTTTAAGAAGAGTCAGTTCTGTTCTTGTTTCTTTCTCTTTCACTCACCCTTTACACTGTGGTTCCTATAATAGGCTGCTAAATTAGTTGTTCCTCTACTACATTTACTCTTCTGAGTATTTATTGAAATCTCCAGTTACTGATGTCTCCTCCCTTACTCCTTTTGTCCTTGTGAGATTGAGCCCTTTTTGCTCCGTTTCTGTTATTTAGTTAGAGTTTAGAAGGAAAAAGGCACAAAGATTCACCTTTAAAACCCCAAACGGGAATACTAGGTTGATAGGTTGTCTAACATTGAACCATCCTTGCATTTTGTCATAAATCTTACTTGGTATTTTAATATGTTCCTGGATTCAAATAGAAAATCTTGTTTTTAGGATTGTTTTACACCATCTGAGATTGACCTAAAATTTTATTTTATTCCATCCTTAACTGTTTTTTTTTAGTGTTATGCCAACCTTTTAAGTAGTTTAGTACTCCTAAAACCAATGTTTTCTTTTTTTCCCTTATCATAATTGCCAGTTTGTCACTTTTGTAAGTTCTTGAATTTTTAGCCTTTCTTAATTTTTAATACATTTTAGGGTATAACTTTTTTTCTGGTTATCATTTGGTTATACATCTCATATGTGTGATATTTACTGTTTTTCTGTTTAAGATTTTATAATTCTCATTTAAATGTTTTTGTTTAAGCTTACATAGGAGTTCTTACTGTTTCAATTTACTTGGATATGGAATTTTTAAGCTTTTAAAAAATGTGTAGTTCCAGTTATATTGCTTTATGGTTAATAAATGTGGCCTTTATGACTTTATTTTAGAATTTTTGGAAACCTCTTTTGGACTTTTATATTTGGTTTTGTATGTGTTCTTCATACATTCAGAAAGAATGTATTCTGTCTTTAGGGGTGGTTTTTTATACATATAAATATAGATATATAGCTATATATATATATCAGGCTTACTATAATTATGCAGATGTTCTACTTTTTTTTTTCTTACCAACCTGACATCCATTTTAAAGTATCAGTACCTTCTGTGAATGTAGATTTGTCTATTTTTCCTTGTAATTGTATTAGTTCTTGCTTTCTAGATTTTAAAGCTTTGTTGTTTGTTCTTTCTGCATCATGTTTTTATTTTATCTGCTGTAAATAACATATACTGGGTTTTGCTTTGTAATTTTTTCAGTTTGGAGTGAGAGACACTTTTTCATACAGTAAAGGAGTTTAACCAGTTCACATTTACCATTGTTTTCTACTTCCTATGCTTTTTGTTTGATTCTTCCTATTCCCTTTTCTACTTTTTGTTGCTGTTGATCAAGGTTTTCTTATTCCATTTTTTTCCCTAAAGTTATATATTCTAAGCCTATTCTACTGATTACTCTTAAAGTTTAAATAACATATTTTTCTTAATAAAAAAAGTTAATCATTATTTTCATTCTACTTAATTAAGATCAGAATCTTAGCAAGCTTTTATTTCTTTTTCCTCCACTTCATGCCAGTGTCATCAGAAATTTTACTTGTCAGTTATTTAAGATGTTATTTTCTACTACCTGTATTTATTTAGACTTAATAATATATTTATTGGCTTATTTGATCATGTTTCTGCTTATATTACACTTCTTATGATTCTTTCTTTTGAAGAGGTAGGAATTTGGGTTTTTTTTTTCTTACTGGCTATCTTTTGTAGGTGTTTTAGAGACGTTCTTTGGGTGATAAACTTTCTGAGTCCCTATATGTTGCAAACTATCTTTTTTGCAGTCACTATGGAATATTAATATGGCTGGATATTGGATTCTAAATTACAAATTTTTTTTCCCTTAGCACTTTGACAGTCTGCCTCAGTGTCTTCTTGGGTCTAATATAGTTGGCCCTCCATGTCCATGGATTTTGCATTTGTGAATTCAACCAACCACTAAGCAAAAATATTTGGGGAAAAAAAATATTCCAGAAAGTTCCAAAAACCAAACTTGAATTTGTTATACACCAGCAACTTTTTACATAGCATTTACATTGTACTAGAGATGATTTTTTTTAAAATTTTTTACATTTAATGTAATTTTGTTCATGTTTGCTTTGGAATGGGGAATAGATCACTCAGTAAAAGCATACAGTAAAAACAAAGTATGTCTTATATACAGCTTTAAAACTACAATAATGATGTACCTTTGCATCCCATAATAATGATGTGTGTAGGTTGTATGCAAATACTATGCCATTTTATGTAAGAGACTTGAGCATCTGTGCATATTGATAGCTGTAGACGGTGAGGGGAATGGAGAGGTGCTGGAACTAACCCTCTGAGGATACCAGGGGACAAGTGTATTGTTCCTGAAAAGTGGCAGATATGAGAGGTAGCCAGAGACTATGTTAGGTAGACCCTTGAAGAAAAAAGAAAGCAATTTGAATTTGATTGTAAATGCAGTGAGAAACTATAAGAAGGCTTTGAAAGTTTTTAAGCCATAGAGACACAGTATTTCATATATTCTATTTGTTTGTGCATTTATTTATTTTTGGCTGTGTTGGGTCTTCATTGCTGTGTGTAGGCTTTCTCTAATTGCGGCAAGCAGGGGCTACTCTTGTGTTAAATATTTTCTATTGTACCATTTTAATTCCCTTGTTCTTTTGCTGTGTATTTTTTGAGCTACTTTTTTAGTGACTGCCTTTAGAATTATAGATAACATCTTAATTTATGATAATCTCTATTTCATATTAATATGAACTTGAGTAGTATACAAACTTTGTTCCCGTATAGCTCCATTTCCTTCTCCTTCCTTTGTGTTATTGTCATACCAGTTACATTTTTAATCATTATAAGCCTATCAGCGTGGTTTTATAATTATTTCTTTATATAGTTTCATTTTTGTGGCAATAATTGTGTGATTCTCTGACACCAAGTTTGTGTCCTAAAGTTCAATTCAGTTCTGATACTAACTACTTGGAATTAAAGCAGATTCTACAATTTCATGGCTCAGTCTCACAAGACAGTCCTGGCTTTACATGCCAGTCTCAATTCCCCAGACCTCAGATTTCCTACTCTTCTCTCTGACTTTGCTACAAATTCAGGGATTCCCACAACCCCCCTCCACCACCAACTTCAGGTTCAGTATTTGCTAGAACGACTCACAGAATTCAGGAAAATGTTACGTGCAACAATCACCTGTTTATTATAAAGGATACAACTCAGGAACAGCCAAATGAAAGAGGTGCATAGGACAAGCTATGGGGGGTTAGAGTGGTGCAGAGCTTCTAATCCCTTTCTGGGTGCACCACCTTCCCAGCATATGGACATGTTCACTAACCCAGAAGCTCCATAACCATGTTGTTCAAGAGTTTTATTGAGTTTCATTACCTGGATATGATTGATTAAATTATTGGCTGTTGGTGAGTGAAGTCAATCTACAGCCTCTCTCTACTCCTTGAGGGCAGGGGGCGAGGCTGAAAGTTCCAACCCCTTAATCATGTGGTTGGTTCTTCTGGCAATCAGTCTCTATTCTGAAGCTGTATAGGGACCCTGCCAAGAGTCGTCTTATTAGCATAAAATCAGGTATCTGCAAAAGGGGCTTAGTGTGAATAACAAAAGACACTTCTGTCACTCAGGAAATTCTAAGGTTTTTAAGACCTCTGAGCCAGGAACTGGGGACAAAAACCAAATATATATTTTTTATTATACCACAACAGTTGTCTTTTATATCAGATAGGAGAAAAGAAGAGTTACAAACAACAGATACATTTTTACTATCTCCTATTTACATATGTAGTTACCTTTACTGGTGCTCTTTATTTCTTTGTGTAGTTTCAGGTTACTGTCTAGTGTCCTTTCATTTCATTCTGAAAGACTTGCATTAGTATTTCTTGTAGGGCAGGTCTGCTAATGATGAATTCTACCAATATTTGTTTATCTGGGAATGTCTTAAGTTTTCTTTCT